GTTTGGAAAGGCCTGAAAGTAGATTTTTAGAAACTGAATGAGTAGAATTATTCTGTTAATTCCCTAAAACATGTGCTGATAGGCTGAGGAAAGGTATAGTTATGGGTGGTTATAAACAGTGAATGTTGGATCAATGACTTCAGTACAGAGCTGAGGTACCACTTCATTTGGGTCAGTTGCATGATTGACTCCTGCTCTTTGTCAAAATTTCAATCCTCAAATATGCTATTTTTATAACAACAGAATGAGCGACAGACCTAAAATGCTAGCTTTCTAGATATGTTTATTTCAAACTGGAAGGCATATTGAAAAGTTGTGATTTCTCTGCTTCTGATAGCTTATACTATCATGAGTCGAACAGCTCCAGATCCTCACTTAGCATCATGAAATTGCCTTTTTCAATATATTTCTACAATATGCGTATACTGGTACAGTCTTCTGTGTTTATTCAGTTCCACTGAACTTATTAACTTCCTCCCAAGTAAGTTTGTACAGGATTGCAGTCTTAATATGTCTGTCAGGAAGTATCCCATTTTACTTAGTGTGACTGTGTTTTGGGAAAATCTGTACATGACTGACCTATGAATCTGCAAAAGAGCAATATAAGTGTAAGTAAAGTAGTACATAGAGAGCCAGCATGGAGTGGTGGTGTGAGTGTTGGAGTAGGACTTTGGGGGCCCTTCCACACAGCCCTATATCCCAGAATATCAAGGCAGAAAATACCACATTATCTGAGTGTGGACTCAGATAATCCAGCTCAAAGCAGATATTGTGGGATTTACTCCTTGATATTATGGGATATAGGGTTTTGTGGAGGGGCCCTGGGAAACCAGGGTTCAAATAATTGCCATGGAAACCTCTTAGGGTCCTTCCACACAGCCATATAACTCAGAATGTCAAGGCAGAAAAATCACACAATATTTACTTTGAACTGGGTTATCTGAGTCCACACATTCCAGTTCAATGCAGAAAATGTGGGATTTTATTCAGCTGTGTGGAAGGGGCCTCAATTACCTGTATGCAAAGCCACACACCCTCAGCCTCAAAGGAAAGAATAGCAAGTCTCCTCTGAACAAATCTTGCACTCCCCCCAAAAACCCTACAATTGGATCACTATATGCTAGAACTGATTTGAAGTTACACAACAACAATGAAGTCCAACACCACTATTTCTGTGTGTGTCAGGAGCAACTTGAGAAACTGCAAGTTGCTTCTGGTATGAGAGATGTTTTGATGTTTTACCATCCTTGTGGGAGGCTCCACTCATGTCCTGCATGGGGAGCTGGAGCTGACAGAGGGAGCTCAACCCTCTCTCCCCTGATTCGAACCACGGACCTGTCAGTCAGCAGTCCTGCCGGCACAAGTGTTTAACCCATGGTAGCACCGGTGGCTCCTAACACAGCTATTAATCCCCACCCAACAAATATTTGGGGCATAAAGAAGATCTCTACTCAGCACAATACGTGGCAGCAGTGAAAAAGGCAAATATAGGATAAGGATATAAAAGAAAAGGAAATTGTGAATGCTTTTTGCTTTTCCTTGACCTATATTCAAGACAGGTTCCTACAGTAAAGTGATAGGATGATTAAAAAAATTGCTGAGTCACTTATAACACTATTTTGCAGAGACCCTTTTGTGTCTATGGAATATGCCTCAGTCTTGAAAAATACACACACAAAAAAACCCCAAACAAACAAACGAACAAAAAACACCACAATACTTTTTTAATCAAGGGGAGCATATACATTTTTTAGGAAAATTTGCCATAAAGGTCATCTTAATGTTATTTATTCTTAAATTGCAAAATCCTAAATCTTGTCATTAACTATAACTAGTAAAGTGCAGTATGACCATGGCTATATTTCCTTAAATATACCAGTGAGTTGCAATGAGGTGAAAGACACACAAAGCACAACTAGTTTGGAATCTTTGCCTAAGGTTCAACCCTCTCCTGTTATGTCCTCTTTTCCTTAAGATTGAATCTTGGGTGGATCAATTTTAGATTAACTAGGAGAAAGTTTTGGGCATCTTGCTTAGTTCTTGCACTGATAAATACTTTAGGCCTTTGCTCAGGATCTGCCTGGCATTATGTGTCATATTTAAAACGGAAATGTGAATTGTTACAAAGTCTGTTCCAAAGGTAGATGAGGCAAGAGAACATAGCAGAGGAATAGCAAGTATACAGGGAAGGGCATTCTTCAAATCTGGGGAAATCCCCTCCCAAATGGAAAAAGCACTCTCCTGTTATTCTACATCCACATCCTCTCAATAATGTGTTTAGGCAACAATCCGGAAAGAAACAACCTAGGTTGAGCATCCCCTATCCAGAAATCTGAAATCCAAAATACTCCAAATTCGTCCGTGTGGGTTTCCGAGATTAGTGACAATTTTGTTTCAGGCACAAAATTATTAAAAACATTTTGTATGAAATCACTTTCGGGCTATGTATAAAAGGTAAATATGAAACAAAAATGAATTCTGTATTTTGACTTGGGTTCCATCTACACCAGGCATGGGCAAACTTTGACCCTCAACTCCCACAATTCCTAACAATCTACCGTCTCTTAGGAATTGTGGGAGTTGAAGTCCAAAACACCCAGAGGGCTGAAGTTTGCCCATGCCTGATCTACACTATCTCTCATTCTGTATACAGTAGACTCTCCTTTCACTGGCACTTAGAGATTGGTAGGTGCCGGATAAAGGTGTTTTCCGGTTGCTTCAGAGTGACTGTTAAAAATAGACCTTACTAATAGCATACCATATTATCCACACTGTATTGAGTTGATATTGGTATTGAAATAAAGTAAAAGCAACGTAAACGTTACTATAAGAAGAGCATTGTGGATGCAGTATGGCATTTTGATTATTTATTGTTAGTGGTTGCTTGAAAGTTCATGTAGCTTAAATTCCAATTAACTGAAGTTGGATACACATTGTCATATAATGTAGTAAACTTTATTATAAAAATAGCTTTGTGGATCCAGTATGGCATTTTGGTTATTTATTTTTGCCGGTTGCTTGATAGTCTGCATTGCTTAAATTCCAGTTAACTGAGGTTGGATCTACAGTGTCATATGATGAAGTTTGAACTGCATTGGATGGGTCTACACCAGGCATGGGCAAACTATGGCCCTCCAGGTGTTTTGGACTTCAACTCCCACAATTCCTAACAGCCTCAGGCCCTTCCCCCCCCCCCCCCCCCCCAGTCGCTTACATTGCTTTTGCTTACTGTATTTCAATATCAATACAATACAGTGTGGATAATATGGTATGCTATTAGTAAGGGCTATTTTTAACAGTCACTCTGAAGCAACCGGAAACTACCTTTATCCGGCACCTACCAATCTCTAGGTGCCAGTGAACGGAGAGTCTACTGTATACAGAATGAGATATCGTAGGCCAGGCATGGGCAAACTTCGGCCCTCTTGGTGTTTTGGACTTCAACTCCCACAATTCCTAACAGCTGGTAGATTGGGTTGTTGTAGGTTTTTCAGGCTATATGGCCATGTTCTAGAAGCATTCTCTCCTGCCGTTTTGCCTGCATCTATAGCAAGCATTCTCAGAGGAGCCCCCAGTGGCGCAGTGGGTTAAACTCCTGTGCTGGCAGGACTGAGGACCAACAGGTTGCAGGTTCGAATCCAGGGAGAGTGCGAATGAGCTCCCTCTATCAGCTCCAGCTCCTCATGCGGGGACATGAGAGAAGCCTCCCACAAGGATGATAAAACATCAAAACATCTGGGCATCCCCTGGGCAATGTCCTTGCAGACGGCCAATTCTCTCACACTAGAAGCCACTTGCAGTTTCTCAAGTCGCTCCTGACATGACAAAAAAAACCCTCAGAGGTTGTGACAATTTTGTTTACATTTATTACAAATATTATGTATGAAATCACCTCACAACCTCTGAGGATGGTTGCCACAGATGCAGGTGAAACGTCAGGAGAGAATGCTTCTAGAACATGGCCATATAGCCAGAAAAACCTAAAACAACCCAGTGAGTCCAGCCATGAAAGCCTTCGACAAAACAGCCGGTAGATTGTTAGGAATGGTGAGAGTTGAAGTCCAAAACACCTGGAGGGCCCAAGTTTGCCCATGCCTGGTTTACACTAACCATATAATGCAGTTCAAATGGCATTATTTGGCACCACAAATCCACCCTGAGACCCAGGGCCCTTCCACACAGCCATATAACCCAGAAAATCCCACAATATCGGCTTTGAACTGGGAGCCCTTCCACACAGCCCTATATCCCAGAATATCAAGGCAGGAAATCCCATATTTTCTGAGTGTGGACTCAGATGACCCAGTTCAAAGCAGATATTGTGGGATTTTCTGCCTTGATATTCTGGGATATGGGGCTGTCTGGAAGGGTTTTGAACTGGGGGCCCTTCCACACAGCCCTGTGTCCCAGAATATCAAGGCAGGAAATCCCATATTTTCTGAGTGTGGACTCAGATAACCCAGTTCAAAGCAGATATTGTGGGATTTTCTGCCTTGATATTCTGGGATATAGTGTTGTGTGGAAGGGCCCTGGGTTATCTGAGTCCACACTGCCATATATTCCAATTCAAAGCAGWTYATGGGGGATTTGATTCAGGGGCTYCAGATATTTTGTAATCCCCAAGCATTTCGAATAAGGGTTCCTCGACCTGTACTTTTGAGTCCCAAGTTTAAGAAAAGGGCAAAATACTTCCATTCCCAAGTGTTTTGGATATAAATAAGGGATGCTCAATAGGATTGATGGTTGGGACAACTGCTGCAATGTTTTGGGACTGCCTCTGCTTGGTTCTTTGCCTCCCACCTGGCCCTTCTCTCACCCCAAACCCTAATAATACTAATAATAATAATAACAACAACAACAACAACAACAACAATAATAATACTTTGTTTATATTCCCCTCTATCTCCCCAAAGGGACTCAGGGCAGATTCCAAACATAAAAGGTAAACATGCAATGCCTGAATGCAACAATAAGACATAAACAAACCAGCCCCTGCTCACCTTCCCCGGGACCCCGCGGTGGTCGGTGCTCCCTTGCCAGAAGCGGCGGCTGTAGCCCGTGATGTAGCCCACCATCTTGTCCTCGTAAGGGAAGTCCACTTTCCAGATGAGCGAGCCGTAGCCGAACACCCACATGTTTCTCGCCCCGCCGGCGCGCTCTGCCCGGCTTTCCCGGGGACCGCCAGGCAGGGGGCTCTCCATGCTCCTCTCCCGCCGCAAGGCACGCTGGGGCTTGTAGTGCCCGGAACACAGCCGCCAGGGTGCTGCTCCCCGCAAGCCGGGCCGCTCCGGGCTTCCGCGTCGCCCCGCCGCCCCGCCTCCCTTGGCTTCCTTCCCGGGAGGCGGAGGAGCCCCGCCAGGGGAAGGCACCGCCAGGAGGGCTCCCTGCCCTGGAGGCGGCCCGGACTACACTTCCCGGCAGGCATTGCGGCGCCAGGCGGAGGGGGCGGGGCTATGCTCCAGCAGGTGGCTCATTGCAGGGCGAATCGCTGTGTTGTGCAGGTTGAGCATCCCTTTATCCAGGATCTGGGATATTGTTACTGCAGGAAACTGGTCAGTTAACTGTAATAATTGCTCTCGAAGGAATAGGACTTCACACAAATGCTTTACATGA